TTCTGAATAAATCAGTTTGTTTAAGAAAATATGGAGGATCTTATTGGAAAATTTTCTGGTTTGTGTTTAGTTCGGGTGCCCCTTTCTGCATATCTTCCCTAAATTGGCTGTTGGAGGTTTTTTTTCTTGTTTTTGTGTGAGTTAGGGATGTTTCTGCTTGTTGATTTCATGACCAAGGGGTTTTATGTTAAAGATATTAAAGACATACACGTTTGGTGCCTTTACGTATGTATTCAAATTTTAAACCCAAAAATATTATGCATTTTGGATTATGTGTTCTCCTTTTTTCCTTTTACTTCGGTTTCAGAGTCTGTTCAATCAGCCAATGAAGTTCAGCAAGATGCCAAGGCTGAGGCTACTAAGCCCAATGTTGCAACATCTGTGTTTGTGAACTCAGAACCAATGCGAGAAGAGCAAGTACAGAATGCTGTGAAATTCCTTTCCCATCCAAAAGTTAGGGGTTCTCCAGTCATGTATAGACGATCTTTTCTTGAGAGGAAGGGGCTTACAAAGGAAGAGATTGATGAAGCTTTTCGTCGTGTTCCTGTAAGCAAGTTACTTACCTGGGTTCATTATTCTTCTCGCACCATGCCGTTTACCTGTGTTATTGTGTCTATATATTCTAAGTTCACTCATGTTTATTTTCTTCTTTATCCACAACCTTTTATGTGAATATAGGACCCGCCTCCAAGTGCACAGACAGCTACTATGAATCAAGGTAATGAATTTTAGTGATGAAGTAAAAGTTTTTCTTTGTCTTTGATGTATATTTTTGTTTGACCTATACATTAACTAATCCTTGTGTTTCCTACATGACCTTATAATTTATCATGGTCCAAGCAGATGGGCAAGCAAAGACATCATCAAACACACAGTCACAAGCCCCAGCACAAACTCTGCAGCCTGTGGCAGCAGTTCCAAATACTGTTGCTCCATCAGTGGGGACCTTGACAAAGTCCAGATTTCACTGGTATCATGCAGTTATTGCTGTAGGAGTGCTTGCAGCATCAGGTGCTGGAACAGCTGTTCTACTTAAGGTATAACTAGCAAATGACTTCTTTTTTTGTCCTTTTATTTAAATAAAAGTGTTTGTGCATCAGCTCCATTTTCCATTGTTTCTAGTGGTATTCCATCTCACCTGAAAGCTTCTTCCACCAGACTTACTTCTTGTAGTGCTCAAAAAAAAAAAAAAAGCTTACACATAATAGTTTGACTGATTGAATGGGAGAAACTGTTTCTTTTTTCAGAAGGCTATTATCCCTAGGTTGAAGTCCTGGATACGTAGAGTTGTCCAGGAAGAGGAAAATGACCTTGTAAAGAAAGCTAATGCAAAACCAAGTTTGGCAGAAGAGGCAGCTGCGGCTGCAAAAGCTGCAGCGGCAGCTGCTGCTGATGTGGCAAAAGCCAGCCAAGAGATGTTAAATTCAAAGACAGAAGGTGGGATTCTATACTTCATTCTTTCATGTGAGAAATTCCTTTAGGTACTAATTTGTTCTATGATATTTCTTCTGGTTTGGCTTTGGATAACTTTCTAATGTGTACTTTTTATTTGAGCTTGTTGTTGTCCTTGTTAGAGAGGAGATACTTCGGGGAACTTATGAGTCTGTTAGATGTGCAAGTACAGGAAATGAAGTCAATGAGTAATGCTATCCGCAAATTGGAAGGTCAGTTTTTTGTTGCTTTCTCATCAAAAAAGCAGAAATGTAAAACTTCTACATTTTATAATTGAGAAACCATTTGTTGTCATTTTCTAAACTACTGAGGGTGTTACAGTGTTATAACCTGGTTAGGAAGATAAATTCCTTGGTCATAACCTTCTAGTTTGTAGCCAGGATTATCACCTCCTGTTGTCTGCAAGATAGGTGTCAGCATGGATGAAGTACTTTTTCTTTATTATGCACAAACAGGGAAGTAGTTCTTCTGTATTTACATCTGCTTTGTTGGTAACTAATAATATGCCCACACGTACCATAAAAATAATATGTCCGCACATGTTGCAAGAAAGAACTGTGTATAATCAAACTAGAGATCTTCGTACTTGCTGTATTTCTTCTTATGCTGCTGACATGAATAGGCAACTGTTTATTCCTGCTGTCCATGAGACTTCAACTGCCTTATCTAGGAAATTAGGAATTATCCATAATAAAAAATGTGCAGAACTCATTGATGTGCTAGAAACTTCTCTAATTGATTCTAAGCTGGCCAACAATGAGACAATTTTACCTACATTTGGGGCTGCAAATGTCTTTTGTGGTTTGAGATGATGAGTTAATATTGTTATACTTTTTTTGGAGCTTTTAACCTGTTAAAAGTTTGTAAAGTATAACTAGTTCTTATGTATTCTAAAAGGCTTTGGCAAAACTTGGTTGTTTGTCAAAGTTCAGGCCCGGGTTCCTTGGTTCAATAGACTTAATAGAATCAATAATGCATGTAGTTTAGTTGTCGGTTAATTCTTGGTGGTCAAATTATAGCTTTCCAGATGCCAATGAATTGTAAATTCAAGAATTCATACTATCAACAATTTTAGCATGTGTTGAAAAAGGTAGCAAGAAGAAATAGAAAAAGGTGCTTGTGAAAATTTGGGCCGATGAGGAATTGTCTATATTTCTTTTTGTGTTTATATATAGATAGGCCTTTCTAAGTGTGCACTTTTTTGTTGTGTTCTCAACACTTGATCTTTGCTTGATCTGCCTATTTAATGCATAAGTTTTTCATTGTTATTGCATTCTTTAAGAATGAAGAATCACTCAAGTGTTATTGACAAAATCTTCTTTATCTGACATTATCAACATGTTCCTTTCATATAATTACATTTCTCTGTCAGGACAAACCAATAACTCAGGCAGTACTTATGTTGCCGACCAAGAAGATTATAGAGTATCAGTCACAAATTCAAAGGTCAGCCAGAATGATCTTAGAGTTAACATGATCTATGGTTTTCTGTGGAATTTTAATTATAAGTTCTGCACTTCATATTTAAAATTTCCAAGTTAAGTTTTTAATTATTCAGGACTTTTTTTTCTTTTTGCAGCAACCATATGCAAATGGAAAAACAGAATTTGACTCCCATCCAGGTTGTTTTCTATTTAATTGATACCTGGTTCTTTACCCTTTATGTTTCTGAATTTCCACCTCATGCAATTACAATTTTCTATACAGCAAGATCCTCCTCTCTGCCTTCTTCTGGGGAGCCCTCTATCGCCCCTCATCCCAAGTCATACATGGAGGTGAATAAAGTTTCCAATCCTTTATTACTATAAAATCTTTCCAGTTGTTCAATGGTTTAGTTTATATTTGTGCTATTTTGTGCAATATGTCTTCGTTTATTCCAACTATATTCAGAAGGATATGATTTTGTTACTTGATTATGAAAATTGGGCATATCTAAATGTCTATGCATTGAATGCATGGTTATGGGATACTCCAGTGATCACTAATGGCTTTTTTTGCTGAATGAGATATAGGTGGAATGTAATAACTATTACCAGGGAATGAAATAATGTTATTATAGAATTGCTCGATATTTGATTCACATTCAGTAATAAATAACTCATTACAACCCCATTACAGTGTGGTTCCTAGTATTAAAGGCTGATAGAAAACTGTGATAAGTACAAATGCTATGATAGTCTTATTTATTGGATTTGTCTGAAAACATATGAATTATATGTGTAAATAGTTAAATATATATTAATATATGATAAGTTGATTAAATTTCATCTTATTGTATAAAGTAATTTTGTTACAGTTATCATATTTTTATTTTTCTTTCATATTATTTTAATATCATAGAATTATAAAATTTCATATAAATTATTCTAAAATTGTCTTAGTAATTGAAATTGCCTTGTATGTTTTTGTACTTAATTTTAAAAAATAAAAAAATTTCTTTAATTGATTAAAAAATTTTCAAACAAATTATATCATAACTTCAAATTTTCAAGTATATTCAATACGCATTGTTGAGTAAGAGTACAATGATCTTGAAAGTGAAATTAGTGATTATGGGCAAAGCTGTAATCCTGATTTATTATCCCTATCCGTGAATTAGGATTACAATTTCTGCCATTATCTCAATAAGAGAGCAATTCTGATTCCATCACTAATTAGTGTAGCGAATCTGTGTCATGTAATAACTATTATGCTTTTAGCACATTTCTGCTTTATATGGTCAGTTAAGGTCTTTGTTGTAATTATTTTTGGCCCTCAAGATCTCACATTCTTTTTCTATTATATGGTTTTATAAATCTTTTTGCTCCCTATGGATTGTAATATCTGGAGGATGTCGTACCCCTGTTTTATTGTATTTTTCTCCTCTTAATAAATCTTCTTTTATCAGAAAAATAAATATCTTTATATTGATTTACTTAACTATTTTTTGTGGGTTAGTTCAAAACCTCATATACTGTAGTTATAAATTGGATTTGCGTAATTGCTGCGACAAAATGCTTGACTGCAAACCCCTAGATTTTACATTATTGATATTTAGTTTATTTTCAAGGTGAACCTGATATCAGGTATCAATAAGATGCAGTGGGATTGTCCCTTTTCATATTTCTGAAAGATTTTGGCTTATTTATTTTGTATTATTACTGCAGATAATGCAAATGATCCAGAGAGGGGAGAGACCATCCAACATCAGGGTAATCTAACCTGGTTTCTCTTTTATGATTGAATTTTTCACCCATTATGGAATATGCTAATTCTCTGGAATTCTAAATTTATGTCCAGGAAATCAATGATTTACCCCCAAATCCTAACCAGCAGCCATCAAATCCTCGCTTAGTACCAAGAGCAAAGGTGTGCATCTTGAGAATTTGTCCTGGATCAAAAGTCCCATCATAATTATTTTCCTACTAGAATCACAAACTGGAGAAAAAAATACTTTATTGAATACAGATATTCAAGTGAAGAACGAATTCCAAATTTTATTCAGCATTTGATATGTTTTAATGCACTAATTCTTAATTACTTAGAGAGAATAGGATTTTCTTTTAAAGTACTCAAGGAGTTTTGCATCTGAATCTGATTTATTTTTTCCCCTCTTCTGACAAGCCTTGGGAGGCTGCAAACAGCTCGAATCAAGTAACTCAATCTCAACCGAACGGTGAAGGCTTGAACTCCAAGGTGATAGACAATGGGGTGATGTATCAGTTTGATGGAGACAATTCAGTTCCTTGGTGGCAGCAGAAAAATCCTAGAATTACAGAGATTGAGAACGAAGATGAATTGAAGGGTGGATCTTATGGTGATCAAACCTATCAACGGCCAATCCCGCGCACATGGGTTCCTCCGCAGCCACCTCCCGTTGCAATGCCTGAAGCAGTTGAAGCCATAAGACGACCAAAAACATCAATTTTGAAGGAACAAGGTGCTGAGAATCAATCAGCACCTCCTCTTAATGAACCAACTCAGGAGTTGCAGAAGATTACAGAAGTATCCAAGTCAGGAGGTGCATTGGAGATTAAAGGTGATGACTTGAGCATGCAGACTGCACAAACCACTGAGATACAAGAAGAGACACCAACCAATTAGGAAAGGAAACGGCGAAGGATTCAATTAGTACAATCTGTTTGATCCAAGGTATATGGAGTAATAAGAATAAACTTAATGAAACAGTTTACCTTATCCTCCAACTCTGTTAAAAATAATTCATTTATGAAAGGAATAAATTCATGAATTGATACTGCAGACCAAATCTTGAACCGTTTTTCACGGATGGCAATTTGTATTGGGTTTTTTCAGACATGTTAATTGAGGTAGATAATATGGCTTCTTCACACCTTGGCCTAGTCGGTTTTAGCCGATTTTATATGTATCTCTGCAAAAAAATACGTTAGAAAGTCTCAATTGACTAAAAAAAATAAAAAATCAAAACTTATCGAGGGGATCTTTAGGTTCGGCGGCTCCCTTGGTCCTTCGTGGCTAGGGTTTTTCTTTGACTAACTTGTTCCAAAAAGTGACGGTGAACACAGTGGTCAAGAATCGTGTGAAACGGAAAACATAAAAGGGGTCATGAGAGAGGATTTTGGGTTTTGGCCGCGGTAGCTTTGCCGGGCTTTACCCATAGTTTTCAGCTCACTCGTCGTCCATTTTGCTTCGATATGGCCACAGAGAGACTCGGAATTGAATTCCGAGCAGAAAGAAGAAAATTTTACCTTTTACGATAGTCGGCGGTAGCTTTAGTGTAGGGCGACCGGTGGACGGCCTCCTTCTCCGGTGTTTGGTTCTTCTTCTCCAGCGAGGGTTGGTACAGCTAGGGCTGGTGCAGCTAGGGTTAAGATTTCCTGGAACGCGATGCTTAAATACCCACCCTGTCTCGACTTAGACCGTCATTCAAGAATACATGACCTTCTCTCTTCCGTTGGATCTATCTTATTCGAGGAATGAATCTGGGTAGTATGATCAAATTGAATTTAATCATTCGATCATGTTTAAAGAGGGAATACATCTGGGTTGTTCACGCGTGCGAGATGAGATCTGAACTGTCGGATCGCCAGGCACATGAATCGCTCACATGGCCCCCGGCGTAGCGTTGATGTCAGCAGGGTTAACACGCAGCGTGCTCTAGTTTGCCAGGGCTACTGTCCGAGCCGTCTCACATGGCCAAACTATTCTCTTGTTGTGATTTAACTCCCTGTTTTTAATTTTTGACTCAAAAACATCCCCTGAATTAAAATTTCACTTATTTTTTTCAAAATTGTTTTCAATTGTGTCCTTAATTCATTTTTTTCTCAAAAATTCAAAAAAATTAAACTGAAATAAATTAAATTAATTATTTATATACTTTATTATAAATAAAAATAATTATCTCAGGCCGATTTTTGGGCTCAGGTATTACAACTCTCTTCCCTTAAGAAAAATTTAGTCCATCAAATTTGTCACCCTCTTACTCAGCCGAACAGCTGAAGGCACTAAGCTCTGAAGTCTGATTCTAGTTCCCAATTGACATTTTCCTGAGTGTCATTCTGCTATAGGACCTTAACGAAGGAAATTTCTTTGTTGCGAAGTACTCTGCTTTTCCAATCTACAATATCTACTGACACTTCCTTATAGGATAGATCCTCCTGGAGTGAAAAGGGCTCGTGAGACAGGATGTGTGAGGGGTTTGGGTTGTACTTGCATAGCATGGACACATGAAACACATTATGAATTCTGGATAACTTTGGAAGTAGTGCTAGTCTATAAACAGATGTACCAATCTTATCTAAGATTTTAAACGATCCATTGAACCAGTGATTAAATTTTTTCCTCTTATCAACCTACTAATTTTCTTGAGATGGGTGACCTTAAAAAACACTCGCTCCGCTTTCTCAAATTCTAAATCTCTCATCCGGGTATTCGCATAACTCTTCTGTCCGTTCTAAGTTGTCTGAATGTTCTTCCTGATCTTAACTATCTTGGCTGTAGTCTCTTCTATAAGATCCGGGCCAAACAATTTTCTATCACTCACCTCTTCCCAACAGATCGACGACCTACAGGATCAGCCATATAATACTTCATATGGTGCTATATCGATACTGACTTGATAGCTGTTATTGTAGGCAAACTCTATCAAAGGTTGGTGATCATCCCAATAGTCCCCAAAGTTTAGAACACAAGCTCAGTGTAACGACTCTAGAAATAGCCAAAGGAAATAAATGATAATTAAAGTACAGAAGCGAAATAAATATTCAAAGTTTACATTCCTTACACAATAACTTAAAGTACCAATTAGTGTTACAGAATTCACTCTTTTAAAAGAAATACAAAGAAATAAGAAAATGAACGGAAAATAAAGAAAACTAACATTCTACTCGCAATCTTCTTGCGGATCGGGTTCTGGATCGTGATTTTCTTGATCTGAAATGGTTAAATAAGAGATGAGCTACATTAGCACAGTAAAAATATCACACTATATCACCGACACAGAAATGAAAGTTCGTAGAAAATCGAAACAATTAATGCAACACTAAATTAAGCAAATTCATTTATCAATAATAAAATCATTTACTGTTCACTTATCGTAGTGAGATTTATAGAAAATAATAACATTATATATATCATGATTCAGTATATAATTGGCAACATAGCACATATTATACTTTCATATTCAAATCATCAAAACAACAATTGCCTTTTTTTTTCCACCAACATGCTAGTATCCATAGGGGTTCATAGGGATGTCCCTGCTATGTGTGAATCTTTTTCTTTAACATTCTCAATTTCGATCATCCCCATACCCCGTCCGGTATGAGCGCCAAATTATTAAGCCTCAATACCCCGTCCGACATGAGGGTGAAGCAGGCCATTCCCATACTGTCTGGTATGAGCGCTAAGTTACCAAGTCTCCATACCACGTTTGGTATGAGACACGTTCACAGTAGGTTTTCTTATGTACTTGGTCCGTCCACCATCTCCTAGGATGCCCAGTAAGGCTGTCGTTTCATTCATTTACTTAATCACACAAGTTTTCCGTTTACTTTTAACCTTCATTTTTTCAATTCAACCGTAAACACGTAAAATAATAATACATGTATTCAAAGCTATAAAATCAATCAATAAGGCACTATCATGCATTTAAACTATAAAAATAATTAACAGAACAACAATAGATAATTTTTGGTTCTGCTTCCGTTAGTAATCCGTAATTAATTATGAACATTTTTTAAATTATACAAAATACTATATTTATTGTTAATTAGACTTCAATTCTATAACATGGAATAAGGTGAGAGATTCTTACTCAATTTGATGCTCGAAAGGCTATACTGTTGACTGCGCCCACTAGCAGTCTCTGGATTCCTTGAATTTTTTTTTGGAATCAAAACGTGTTATAAGTACCTACAATTGTCCCAAACAAATCTAAAATCAGTCTTAGGGCCCATTTTGTCCAATTTTAGAATTCTGGCATGGCGACTCTGCCGTGCTTCGGTGACGGTCTGCCTCGACTCGATTATTTTCGACCGTTTTTGGCTGATTCCAGTCGATTTCGCATCAATCCCTGCGAGAAAATATGTTAAGGGGCCTCGGTTGGCCAAAAAAATATAAAAAACTGAAACTCATCGGCGGCAAGGCTCTTCGGTGCGGCAGCTCCTCCGGCTCACGTTGCGGTTGAGTGTTTTGCTCCGGTCAACCTGTAGAGAAGGAAACGATGATCACAATGGTGGAAAAATTTTGCCGAACGAGAATGGGGAAGGGCCTCATCGGAGGCGTTTTGTGAAATTTCCTGCGGCGGCGCTGCCGAGCTTCACCCGCAGTTTTCGGCCAATTGGCCAGTCCTTTTACTCCGATTTCTGTCATGGGGGTGTTTAAAATTGAATTCCGAGTAAAAAGGGATATTTTTACCTTTTTTGGCAGTCAGAAGTAGCTCCCGCGTGGCAGGTGGCGGTGGCTCTCCTTCCAGGCGGCTGGGTCTTCTTCTCCGGCGAGGGCGACTGGCGGCTAGGGTTAGGGTTTGGTGTGAAGAGGATTATTTATACTCGTCCGCTTTTGATTTGGACCGTTCATCACATTTGATCTGGACCGTCCGATTGCGATTAAATAGGAAGTGAATATGGACCATTCATTGTGATCCAATCTGAGCTGTTCATTGCGATCTAATCTGAACTGTCCGATCGCATTCAAACCTGACAGTCTGATCACATTTGGGGAGGGAACACATATGGGCTGTTTGTGCGCACGGGAATGGATCTGAGTCGTTCGATCGCGGGCACGCAGATCGCTTGCATGGCCTCCCGCGTGGCACCACGTCAGCTTTCGCCGCCATGCAGTGCGTTCTGGTTCGTGGGTCGTGGGGCCTGCTGATTAGGCATCCTACGTAGTAAAACTTTTTTAAGTTACCTTCTAACCCCCGGTTTCTGATTTTCTTTCATACCTCCAGAACCCAAAATTTCACATCTTTTTCCCAAAAAAATTTTCAATTTCACCCCTACCAAATTTACTTCATTTTTGCATTAAATTAAAATTAAAAAATAAAAAATTTATATTTATAATTAATTTAATTTACAATTAAATTAATTTGGGCATTACACTCCGAGCATATCCTCTAGTATGCGAATCATCCTCTTTGATTGTCCATCGGTTTGAGGATGGAATGTAGTGCTGAGAGACAGTTTCATTCCCACGGCTTGCTAAAAACTAGACCAAAATCGAGAAGTGAACCTGAGGTCTTTGTCGGATACCACTGTCATCAAGACTCCATATAGCCTGACTATCTCCTGAATATAGATTCTCATTACCTTATCCAAGGGGTCGGTTGTCTTGATAGTCAAAAAATGAGAGGACTTGGTGAGCCGGTCGACAATTACCTAAATAGCATCATGTCTTGAGCGTGTCTAAGGTAACTCTGTCATGAAGTACGTGATAATATGTTTCATTTCCACTCTAGGATCGGTAATGGCTGAAGTAGTCTACCTAGCGTTGATGCTCTGCCTTAACCTGCTGACATACTAGACACTTGGAGACAAAGTCGGTTATCTCTCTTTTCATCTCACTTCACCAAAATCGGAGTCGCATACTTTGATACATCTTAGTACTTCTAGGATATATGGTGAACTTTGAACTATGAGACTCTGTCATGATGTTGCTTTTCAGTTCACTGTCATCTAGAACACACACCCTGTTCTAAAATCTGAGCAACCCATCGGTAGAGACCCGAAATTCTAGATTTATCCCATGTTCTGCATCCTTCCTGAAAGCTGTTAAAGTGA